CAAGGCCTGCCGTAGGATGTGGCTTGGGTGGATTTTAATTATTTTCTCTCAATGTACAGAAATGTTGATCCCCTCCCCCACCAGCAACTCCACTGCACAAACTCCCAGAGGCCTGACAGCCTCCACAGTTGAGGAAAACACACAATGTCCTCCTCAGATTAGCCTCTCTGGCTCACCAAGAATGCCGGTGCAACCTGCTTTCTCCCTGCAGAAGACACTAGGTGTTTTTAGCTTCTTGATTGTCCTTGTAAGGAGTCTCTTATGGCCTTATGGATGGGGATGACAATAACTGATACAAATAAGGCCATGGGCAAGGAGTTGGTTTGTGGCCTTTAAGGTAGAATCATTCTATCTGGAACAGAACAAACTTCTAGTTTAAGGCTTCCTCCCTTTCCCCCTAGGGCTTTCCCCAGAACCCTGTGGTTCACCGGCGGGAGGAGCGTCTTGAACCTGGACTTCCTTACAGACTCTGCACTGGGGATCCTGCCCGCGCGCTCTCACACGCACACACTTGAACACTTAGCAAGACTTTCCCAAGGTTGTTCCCTCTTTCCGGGGAAATAAAGCCTAGATTGGAACCTTCTGCCGGCTTCCTCACTTAGCCGTCTGGTCTGAATTAGTGTTTTTATAAGGGACTCAAACAAATCGAATACAAGGTCACCAAATAATTAACAGTTGCGAATTCCCTCCGTCCCCATTAAAATACTTCCTTGCTTATATTTCATGTTCCGTTTGCCAACGACAACAGGGTCCCGACAAAAGCGCTTCGACGTTGATTACACCATTCTGCGGCCCAGGTCCACCCAGAAACCCGCTGTTTTGCATAAACATGATGTACTAGACGAACTTCAGTCGTGGAGGGAACTATGTGTCTTTGAATGTCCTCGGGGCAGAAGGCCTATCCTCAGCATTGTCCTGCCCTACCCCCTGATAATCACGATCCACGGGGTAACTGGAAAAGTCAACATGCAATTAGCAGCAGAATCTCCGGAGAGTCGTTTCTAGGTGTCAATTTCCTCAAGGATGTTCCGACTTCGTTTTGGTTTTTATCTATTCCTCACTGGCTCCTTTTTAAGACCATTGTTGTAAAAACAACAACAAAAATTTAAATTAAAGAGTATTCTCATTTCAAAGCCATCTGGAAATCTAACTCAGCAATACTTTTTATATTCATTTTGTTTCCTTCATCCTTGAGAGTTTTTTTTTTCTTATATGGTGCTTATATAAGCTTGCAGTTCTAAGTCTCTCTCTCTCTCTCTCTCTCTCTCTCTCTCTCTCTCTCTCTCTCTCTCTCTCTCTCTCTCCATCCCTCAGCCCAGCTGAATTCTTTCATAGAAGTTCTAATTGTCTGTTTTTCCCAGGCCCCAGGATTGGGAGCCTGGGGCTCCAGTACTAATGTCGTTTTTAATGAGTGATTTCATGAGCTAACTGTAATTTTGCTATATCCAATTGATCCATTCTGATCCTTTGCCTGCACTGATACACATACAGGCACATGCTTTCTCATCTTTAAGAATCCAAACTCACGTTTAAAGCATAATAAAGGCATTTTAAAAAGATCAGGGATCTAATGAGTTTTGTGCCTCTGTTAAAATAAATATAAGAAGAAGCCAGGTACAACACAAATTCAGACCTTTAAATTTAATGTTGCATGAGAACTCCTAATTAGTTTTTTAAAGACTAGAGTGGAATATTAGGCCACAAAGAAAATCTCAATTTTTAACTTCTTGCCACCATCCTTTAAAAAATCCTCTTTCCCCTTACCTACCCATATAGTGCCCTGTTTTGTATTCAGAGTTTAGTACCTTATATGAATTTTCTCCTCTCACTAGCTAGCTGAGTGACCTTGATCAACTTACTTAACATCTCTGCCTTAATTCATCTGTAAAACAGGGAAGTATCAGGTGAGAATTAAATGTAATAATTCATACAATAGATTTTAGCAGAGTACTTGCCCCACAGCAACAGTTCAGTAAATCTTGATCGTCATTATTATCCTTAGATGTTTAAAGAGCAAACCAAAAGGAAGAACTTTTTTTTTTAATCTTGTAATAAGGTCTCCTCATGGAGGTTGAAAGAGGTAGCAGCAGGTGGAATAGTACAGTGACATCTCAGTTGAGCTAGAGCACTTTTCACTCATTGAGGACAGAGTTAATCTCTTCCATTCTCAACCTCAGGCTTCAGGTATAACTTAGGTTCCCAGGTTAGGAAGGCTTTTGACAAATACTGTGAGTCACTCATGCCTCTTAAACCGGCTTTGGGGCTCCTTCCCTTTCCTTTGCTCCTCCCCTTGGGGGACCCTTGCTCCTCAGAGCCAAGCCTGCCACACTCTTCAGCGATTTAAACATCCCTGAGGCAACACAACTGACCCAGTACTAGGCTGGCCCCTGCTCTTTCCTCCTTGCCCTGCCATCCTTAGGTTGGGGGAGGGGTTGTTGCAGGGTTTGGCGCGTTTAAGAACCCCCGCGTGAGACCGGCGGAAGTCCTCGCCAGGAGCCAGGGATGCGCGGCTAGCGGGTCCCTTCCATCACGGGAGACTAGACACCGTTTGATATGTTATGACATGCACCCTCAATTAGATCGCTGAGTTGAAACACTCCAATCAGGGGCCCGATGCTAAGCAAGCCCCGGAAGGTCCAGCCCGAGGTCACCGCCGGTGACACATCAAATCAAAATCAGTGAGAGGGAAAGTGAGGCTTTTCCTTTATCAAGCTAGGGCTGCAGCTAGCAATGTACCCCCTCCTCTGCGCTCCCCTCCGGCCCGCAGCTCCGCACTCCTTCGCGAGGCATGCGACAATCCGCACCGCCTTCCTAGACAACTAGCTGTGGTTCTTCACGTTTTCTGGGAACTGGGGAGTGGAGGGGACTCAGTCTTTGAAGTTGCGGTTTCAGGAATCAGGCCGCATCTCCCACCCAGGGCAGACCTCTCGAAGCCCCAGCCCTTGATGGTTTTCTGGGGTTGAGGCTGGACGGACGTCTGGGGTTCTGTCCGACTGGCCTAGAGACCTTGGCTCGGGAACAGAAGTCCCCCCCCAACCCAGGCGCGAAACCAATCCTGTCCTCTACCTCCCGCGCCCGGTGGCTCACAGAGCGGTGCCCCAGGGTCTGGGATCAGGGAGGCTGCAGGGCAAGATATGGTGAAGAGAGTTCATATCTACAAGGGACACCTCTTCCCCCTTGCCTGAATTCAGAAGTTCTCCATAGGCAGGGTCCCTTGGTCTAATGCCAAACTCACAGGACACAGCCAGCCAGTCAGGGGTGCGTGCTTGGGGGGGAGGAGCAAAGATTCTTGCCACTTCCCGGGAAAAGAAAAAGAGCGCCCAACTGCCGGCCAGCCTAGGCCTCCAGGATTTCTTTCCCTTAGGGAAGGCCTCTTTAGTTTTCTTTTAGCTTTCTTGGCCTCTCCTTTGGCAAGGTAGAAAAAGCGGAAAGTTAGAGGACTTGGAGGTAGGGTGGCAGGGGGATGCAGACAAGCAGTACCCGGGCAGGGGACCTAGTTTCAGCACTAAGAAGAAGCCACGTGCCTTTGCAAAAGTGACTTTCGTAAACCTAAAATCGTCATAAAATACATGGCGTTAATTTGCCGTCAGGACCTTTCAGCAGCTCATAATCCCGCTGACCCTGGGCTACAGCCGCGCACGCGGCGTGGGCAGGACCTCCGTGCGCAAGGAACGCAACTGCAAGGTAGAAGTTAAGGGCTCAAGACGCTGTAGAACCAGGACTGAGAGCCTTTAGCTAGCTTTGAAAAGCTTTAAGAACGCGCGAGCACTCAAGCAGCCATAGCTGAGGTAGTTGAACAGGCTATTCTGCAGGAAGCCCAGGGCTCTCTGGGTTCCTGGGCAGTCCCACTTTCACCCACCTGGAAGCGGAACCCTTAGCGAAGTTAAGTCTGGGGAATGGATAGCTATAGCTACCTAAATCTCTTCTCATTTCTTGCTTCTCCTTGCTCTTCTCTTTTCCCTTCCTTTCCTTTTCCTCCCTTCCTTTCTTGTCTCTCTAAGCATTATTGTCTCTCCTTGTTAGGAGCGGTGGAATTTCCCCCAGTTTGTGATGGGGAGTGGGCCACGAGGTTTCCTCGAAAGCACTGACACGCTGAGGACCTGCGATGGTGGCAAGAAGTGGGTTGCAAGAATTTTCTCAGGCTCCCACTTGTGCACCCGATTTGGCAGAGGCGAAGTGGGGCGAGGGCCCTAGATGCGCAGAGAAAGGAGCTTAGAAGTGTACCCACGTGCATTAAATAGCAACAACTCCCTAAGCTTAGTGGACCCTGCCCCCAGCCCGCCCTTCCACTTGCTGCTACTACTTGCAGAAACCAGAGGCTCAGAGCCTCTGGGTGCTTGACGCTGGAGGGAGAAAAATGGTAGAAGCCTCTGGGCACGCGACTGGCTGAACACTAGCTGATGATTCCCACACTGGGACGCGCGGAAAACCCACGCGGCGTCTGCACCAGGCACAGCCGGACACAGCTAACTGACTGGCTCCCTCGACGGTTGGACTAGCTGGGGCCGGCTTTTCCCGGAGCGACTAGAGCTTTGAGCTTTCCATTGCTCACTCGTTCCCTGGGGCCCGCCTGGTCGGTCCCAGTAGTCCAGGCCTAGGACTGCGCGTCCTACACAACCCGAGACTCGAGGTACAGAGTCCATCATTCCTCGCCCTGACCCTTCTCCATCCCTGGTTGTCTGCCTACCACTTCCCTTCCTTTATGCACCCTCCACTAGCCACCAGATGAGCGGCCACCACGATGCTTTCTGCAAAAGACGGGGAAGGAAGGAAAGAAAGAAAGAAGGACGGAAGGGAATATTGTGAACTGGAGCAAAATCTGCAGCCGCATTCAGAAACTTACTTGGGCTTTAGAAAAACAATTTAGAAAAGAAAAGAAAGGGGGAGGTGTCCTGAGCGAGAAGGGAATTCATAAATGCAGCTTCCTGCCAGAGCTGGAGCCGCACTCTGGCTGCGGAGCTAAAGCCGGAGAGGACTTGGGCGTCTTCTTTGCCACTTACCTAGTCCTCTGTCTACAAAGCTAGTGATCGTATTAGCCGACTTGGAAGACTGGAAAAAGCTGGCATTGATGCCCAGCTTCTCTGCAATGGAATAAGTCCTGTAGATTGACAGCATGTACTCATGGGGCACCACGCGCGGACCTCGGCCGGGCTGCTCCTGCGCCGGGGTCTGCTGAGACGATTGCCGCTGAGGCTCGTCCTGCGGCTGCGACTGGGGCTCCTGGAGCTCCTGGGGCGTCCGACCCGCGGCATTCTCTCTCGGCACCCGCGGCATCTTTCCTTCCTTGCGGCTCCTTATGCCCTTGGTGGAGTCCAACTCAGCGGAGGACGAGGAGGAGATGGAAGCTTGCTGGAAACCGGGCAAATCCCACAGGAAACTGATGAGGAAAACGGCCCAGAGCAGGACCCTGGGAGTATCCATGGCGAGAAAGTGGCCGTGTTTCCCCAAGAGGCGGCGGCGACGGCGCTGGGCGCGAAGGGCACGGAGTAGCTGGACAGCGGCTGGGGCCCGGCTCCTCGGGCAGATTCCGAGTGCGAAGAGCCGGGTCCCAGGCACACAAACCCGGGCCTGCCACGCCCCCTCCCGCCCCTCGCCGGGAGGGGAGGGGAGACCGGGCAGTGCAGGGGAGGGGAGGGTGGGAGGAGAGGCCGGGTGGTGCGGGCAGGAGGTGTGGGGGAGAGGGGCCGCGGTGTGCCGGTGTAGCAGGAAGACGCAGCGCCCCCGCGGGACGCGTGCGGGATGGCCGGGAGGAGGTCGCAGAGCCGGTCGTAGGCAATGGCTTGGGGAGGGCGGGCCGCCGTCCCGCGGTTGGGGAGCGTGGGCCTGCCCTCAGCCACAGTGTACCTCTAGCACTCTCTGAGGAGCGGTCGCCCCGCAGCGCCTCGCGGGCTCTAGGTCCTCGCCAGTCGCTGCACTGAGAGGCCCGGAACCAGGAAGGCGACAGAGGCGGCGGCGCCCCCGAGAGACAGCTGGGATCTGGCGCCCCTGCCGCTGGCTGCTGCGCTGGCTCCGGGCGGTGGTACCTTCTCTCCTCGGCCCCAACCGCCAGGCGGGTCCTTGGCTGCCCTCAGGGACCAGCCCAGAGCCTGAGAAGCCTCGCTGTGGGCCCGACGCAGGGCCCAGCACCGGACAGTCCCATTCTCTCCGTGGGGTACCGCTCTCCACAAAGACAGGAGACTATTCCCAACCCTCGAGGTCAGGCAAAGGCCACGAGTCTTTAGAGTTTGGATCGATGCTAAAAGCTGCTGCGCTCCCTTGCAGGCCCCAGCCTCTCCTGTCGCAGTCCCCAACTTCTCCTGACGCTGGCTTTAGCCGCTGAGTTTCTTCGTCGCCGGCTCCTGGGCTCCTGTGGCCTCCTGCGGCCTGCCCCCCACCTCAAGTGCAACCCCATTTTCCTTCTCTTCGGTCCTTCTGGTCTTCAAGACTTCCTCCTTCCCCAAGTTCCTTCTGCATTCCAATCTTTCTTTCCCCAGCCTGCTTTTCTTCTCGCACTGCCCTCCCATCTCTCTCTGCTTCCCACCCTCTGTCTTCCCGGCTTCCCCACTCCCCTTCCAGCGGACCCCTCCCTTTGCAGCTCTACCCCAATCTGTTTCTCTTCAGCCCAGCCTCGCCCCATCACGAGTTTCCTTTATCTGTCCCCAGATTCCCCGTGCCTGTCTTCCCCGCCCACTGCCTCGCTCCTTCCTGGGCCTGAACGCAGGAAGGCTGGCGGCGGAGTGCTGCTCCTCGCTCCCACAGTGCTCTGTGCCCTGGACTGCTATAGAAGTTTCCTTGCACGGTTATTGGGTACTCAAGCACAGATCATAATATGTTCCCCTTTAATCGTACCAATACTCTGAGATTGGCGTGACTATTTTCACTTTCCAGAATGAGAAAAATCAGACTGAAAGAGGTTAAGTGACTTTTCCAGGGTCACTCAGCCAGGAGGTATGCAGCCAAGGACAGAACTCTGCGCTTGGCCCCTCAGCTCAGTGTCTTCTCCCTCCAGCAATCATACCTACTCCAACATCACCATTTCATTTCTTGCTTTTTTCTTCTTGTTGTTCTTGTGGCATCTCAGGTAGTATCCTTCTCCCTCACACTGTTTTATTTATTTATTTTTTGAGCTATTTCCTCTCTCTACTCTCCTCCCTCTCACTTTCTTTCCCTTTCTATTTTTTGCTATTTCATCTCCTCTTTGTTCCTTACTAGAACTTTTTGCCTGACAGCCTGCAGGGGGAGAGAGCTTTGCTTCTCTTCTGGTTCTACACTGTTAATTTCCTTAAAGTTTGGGCCATGTCTTCCATCCTGGATGGCCACTGTCCTCCCCAGGAAATGGCAAACACCCACAGAAGACATGTGCATCACTCATGATTCTGAGACCCTTACATTTAATCTTCACAAAAATCCTGATAGGTGCTGTATTATCTCTGCATTGCAGGCAAGGAAACTGAGGCCCAGTCTCACTGCTCCAGAGTCTGAACTCTTAACCCCTGGGCTATGGAGCTTCACTGCCCTCCTTTTGATCTCCTGGATACTTCTGGCTCTATCCCAACCCTATCTATGTAGTTTAAAGATTTTTTTTCCACTACAACAGAAAAAATGATTTTGTCTTTATAGGTCCCCTTCCACACTTCATTTTTGGTGCATACGTCCTTTTCATATTATTGCCACAAGGATAGATGCCATGTCGGATTCTTCCTTTGTTCCTTTTACTACCAAACCCATTGCCTTCAACATTTCTCTGTGCTCTCTGCCCCTCCTACTGGCCTACAAATGCCTCTTCTGCAAAACCACACAAACTCTTCATTTCTCATTTTCTCTTCTGCCTACCTGCTACCTCTGGGACCCACGCGGTCTTGTTTGGCCTGCTCAGCATCTTGTTCTGCACATCCGCCTCTCAAGTGTCATCCAGGAGAGGCTTCCTCCTTGTGGTCTGTCTCTATCCCTTCCCTCAGGGAAATGAACACTTGTGGTTTCTGTTATCATAACTTTAATTTCTATCAATGTGGTGTCTGGTTAATGATGATTCATGGGTTTGGACCCTCCAACCAATAAGTATATTTCCTGCCCACAAGGGCAACCCTGCGTGTTTTCTCTACATTTTGCCCACAGCAATTATTATCTGCTACAAGATATCAGTAAACAGGAAACAATTAATGAGCCTATTTGGCTGAGACTCAGGATTTCTTAGTGTACTAGATAGAGTCATGGGGAACAACAAATGACCCAAGGGCCAGGATCACAAAGGGTCTGTGATACTTCAGGATTACCCTGGGACAGGTGTTACTCTCCCTTGCTAGCAGCCTCAGTTGCATGTAAGGAAAGTTCTCTTTGCCTGAAAAGACTGCAATGATCATATTACAGGTGAAGAGATGGAGGCAGACATATCAGTGGAACCCCTACTAAGGTCACAACCTAGTCAGAAATATAACTAGGACTAGGAGCCAAGACTTTCTGACTCTTAATCCAATGTTTCCTCTATATTTAAAAGAAAAAATCACATTCAAATACATGACAATGACTCAGTAATGTATAAAACCTGATCATTTCCTCTCTTGTGGATATTTTTCAAATAGGAATCCTCCAATGTTAAGACTATACTAAGGCCTTTGATCTAAGTGACTTGTGTGTGTGTGTGTGTGTGTCTGTGTGTGTGTGTGTGTGTGCTGTAAAAAATACACAAAGAGCAAACAGCAAGTCAAAATCTGCTTTTAGATCTTCATGCCATATTCTGAGTCTTTGAAATATTGCTCTAGTTATCTCATCAGCAGTTTCTTCTATGAAGAACATTTTAAAAGGATGAAAATTTCTTGAGATGAACTCAGAAGGTCTGACCTGGGCACCTGGGGCAGCTTGACTGAAGCCATGTATCCTGGAGTCTCCCTCCCAAATGGAAGGGAGCTGTGAGTCTGGTGTCTCCTGCCCCCTAGTGGATGCTAAACGAGTTGCATATGGAGAAACAAAGTACAGAGCATGGGAAAGTTTATAGGTATTTTCAAAGTTGAGAGAGGGATAGTGACATCAATTAATATAATTTTAAGAAGTTATGAGGTCACACAAGAGGCAACTAAACATCCATAAAGGAGCGATCTGTCTTCTCAGAGATATGGGACCGTAAACAAATAAAATTGTTCTGTTATTGTCTTAAGCTTGTGCCATTATTGTTTTTAAGTGATCCTTTTATATTCACCCAGGAAGAGAAGATTCTCTTAAGTAAATAAAAGAGGTTTTCTTTGTATTTTACTATTTATTTTTATGTTAAAGTGTCACTTTAAAGGCAACTTTTATAAAAGTGACTGAAGGTATTGGACTTTCAGCCAAAGCCCTGCATACTGATGAAATGTTTTTGACATTTTGATAAAATTTCATTTGTAGGAACGTTCTTTTGAAATAGAAAAAAAATTCTGTTAGCTCAGAATACTGAGCAGTGTTCTTCAAATAGTAGTCAAGGTGGAGTCCTGAGCAATAGGAGGTAGGTGAGGACTATGTTCACTTTAGGGAAGTAGAGGAAGGTAGGAGGGGAAAGAAAAAAAAAAGATACCTGGGAAGGGTACGACTAAGATAAAGTGTCTCTTTCACAACTTAGGCTGGAGGTACCAGTCTCATTCATTCTCTGTGCTTTACCCAACTAATACGGCATCTAATTGTTTCATTTCTTTGGTTCATTTGAGTTCTTCTTTAACAGAAAGATTTATAGATAAGTTATATGAAAAAGAATGAAGAGTTGTGCTAGAGGCTATAATAAGTACTCATAGCCTCTCTGAGCCTTGGTTCCCCCAGCCCCTGGATCAGCTGAATGAGGTCTCAGCTGAACAAGGAATCAGAGATTCAATTGGTCCTATGAAGGTCCCCAGTCTGATAGCCCTGAGATTATCAGGGAATTAGAATTCTAGTTCTGGATATTGCAAGGAGAATGTAGTGCCCCTAGAGGACTCAAATGGACCTATTACTGCTCTCTTTTACACTACAGGGCAAGTAGATGTCCAACCATGTTGTAGTTTGCCAACACCATCTGTTCTCAACTGTGACCCTTGGACCAGTAGCATCAGCGTCACCCGGAAACTTGTTAGAAATGCAAATTCATAGGCCTCACTCCAGATCAACTGCATCAGAACTTCTGGGGCTGGGGCCCAGCAATCTGTATTTTAACAAGCCCTCAGGGGATTCTGATGCAAGCTAAGTTTGTGAGCCACTGGTTTACACTATGACACAGAGGTAAGCTACCTGCCAAGAACTTCAAGAAATGCTTTGATTTTAAAGGGAAGGCTGTAAAGTATGCAATTTCATTTTCAAATGAATGATTCTCTTTCCTAATGAGCAAATAATTTTCATTCTCCATGCAAACCAGGTGTATTCAATTGCCTACAGCCATACTAAACCAAATGTGGTTAATCCAGCCTGCTGTCTAACTAAATGGGGTGGAGACTGCTTAGAATCCGAAAAGTACACAAAGCAGATCAGAATAAAGCAGACTGTGGGGATCTTTTTATAGACTATAGATAATAAATAAAGGGTTTGGGATTATCTCTGTGTCAATTTTGGCTACTCCATATTCTAACTTTAATATGGTACCCCATAAATATGTATAATTTA